ACTCTCAATGTTTCATGTAGGACTTGAAGGCCTTATCTTTTAGAGAAAACCTTAATAAAGAGCCTCCTCTCTCTTTGTGCACCTTTATTCACTCCAAAATCTCTTCCAGACCCTCCCAGGCTGATCAGTCCCACTGGTCCTGTATCAGTGGGCAGCATGGTGACTCTAACCTGTTCCTGCCAGGCAAACCCTCCTGTTGACAGCTATGTCTGGTTCATGACCAGTGGTGATAAACTGGAGATGATCAAAGCTGACACAAAGGTTTACAGCTTTGAGGTGACCAAACTCGATCGAGACAAATTGTTTTACTGCAGCTGCGGGAATCATCTGGACATCCAGATATCAGCAGGCAGTCAGCTGCTGTTTGAAGGTAAACACAGGAATTGCATTTGTGAGGAGTAATTTTCCATCAAGGAGTTGACTGTGCTGTCGCATTGCAGGTGATGAACACTGGGGGAAAATGACTGTAATGAAGACTGTGGGAATCATAATAATGGTCAGCACACTGGTCATCTTTGAGTGGTGAGGCAGCTACATACCAGCGTGTAATTTCAAATGTATTTACATGAGTTACAGCATTAATTATAATGTAACCAAAATCAAATGAGAAGCTTTCCTCCTTTCTAACTTGTTTCCATCTTTTTCTTTCAGCTGGTTTAGATCGAGACGTCCCAACAAACCAGAGGCAGGAAGATAAACAGAGCTTATAGTCTAACAACTAAAGTGTCTGCAAGTCTCATGAGGAAGTAAAACCTAAGGAAGTAAAAACTTAAAATATCCCTGCATTTACTGCCACGGTTAGCAAGAAATGAAAGCTTGTACAAGTTTCTAAAATTCTCTGTTGTTTTAATGGTAGTACAGAAGAAAGGTGTAAATACTAGTGTCCTCACCAAATGTAGAGCACACAGCATACCGAGCAGCCACATGATAGTAAAGGCAGTTGTTGCTGGTTTTGAAAAGTGCCACAGTGCAGCATTTAAAAGCTAAAGAAACATATATTACCCAATACTGACTGGCAGAATCCTAATTCCCAAAAAAAGCGTATCGCTGATGTGTAAATGCACTTCTTTTTTCTACCATCATGATCAGTTTGATTCATCTACAAAACCACAGAATACACAGAGCGCTGGTCATGTAACACTTGAAACTCTTAAAGACAAATTCATATAATAAACAAAAGCACTGATGAAAACAACAGATCTAGCCAATTATATATATTTAGAAAAAGATTCATTACTATAGATTTAACAATAGCAACAGAGAAACATTATCACCTTCATAGTACAAATGATGAATTAAGTAAATTCCAGACATTAGCAAACTTCTGGATAAAGACTGTGACCTGGATGATTTTGGTTGTCGTGTGTTTGTTCTGCTTTGTGTTTGTCCATGTCATCTTTCAAAAATAAAAACAATCTTTATTGATTTCATGATTTTCGACT